TGTCTTTAGAGGATCAATTGTGATATGGTTTTTAACAGTCATTCAGAAGATCATAAAACATGATACTGAAGTACTCTCCCATCTTTTCAGATTGGAGAAACAATTATCTCTCTACCTAATTTGATTCTTCTCATTCATCCTGCCATACATTGAAACTTTTCTAATGTTTCAGAATTATACTTAAACTTTTAAGCACAACCATATTTACTAAACTTTAGTAAATCATGATGAATAACCTTACCGTTCTTTGTGGTGGACCTGATCAGCGCACAACCAAGTGTATCCGATCTCATAGTCCTTCACTTGACTCACATATACATGTGAACATGGAATTAGTCTTAATTTCCCAAACATGAAAATTCTCATTCATCATACAATACAAGTTGCATAATTCCAAGTTTCTATCCAACTGAAACTTGGGTGATGGGAATCTTTCCTCATTTGGTAAATTATGACACTACCACAAACGAAAGAATCAAATCCATTTTCCAATATTTCTATCAATGGAATCATATAAACAACAATTTTGATAAATGCCATTGTAAGGATACTTAAAATAAATAAAAACTTTTCTTTATAAAATTTGCAGAAAAACTCTTCATTACAATGCAATGAAAACTATGTTTTTATCTATTCCTAAACAATCTATCATAACTCTTAAGCAAGTGCTCAGAATTCTGATATTCGAATCATGCGATCGAAATCCATCTTCACAATCAGATTCAACATACTCTTCTTCTAAGCTTCCGCTTTTTTTTTCGATTGTACAAAACACCAATTGCGACCAAGTCACATCATGTAATAAGAATCTCCAAATAGGAATTGAATAGAGTTTGATATTGGACTTACCTGAAGCAGAGTCAGACTTTTGACTTTACCATCCTTATGATCTTTTAGGTAAATATGGAAGCTTCGCAACCAATGCCCCTTCTTTTGGTAATAGAAACATATGGACTCTATGAAATGGTACACGAGACTATCTCAGACTTAGCCTTTCTCTTTACCATTGTGTCAAATGACTTGACCATGGCTGATCCCTTTCTATTGGGAAGATAAAGCTTTTCTGGTGTTCTAATGTTACCATTGTCAATGTCCATGGAAGTTTGGGAAGTAGATCTTCCAATCAAATTTGCCTTCCCATTGCTTTAAATCATTGCTGATTTAGCAACATCAAAAAAATAGGTAAGATCATTAAGGGTCATATCGTGGTCTATCACATAGTAGTCCTTAATGAACTCACTATATGACTCACGAAGCGATTAAAGAAACCAATCAACAACCAACTTCCTTAAGAATTTGACAACTAACTCTCTTAACCTGTCAATATGTGACTTCATCTCCAAGATGTGAGTGCACATAGAGTTTGCCAATAGGGCTTGAGTGACCTTGAGCTTTTCAGGTATTTCAACTTGTGGGTTAGGGAGAATAATTGGAGGATGTGGAAGAAGTGAAGTGTGATTTCCAGTCCCATTAATGCACGATAAAGGGATTAATCTTTCACTTTGATTGCCATGTAAGATATCATCTTCATTAGGAAAGCTTTAACCAAAAGGATAAGGAATACCATAGTTGTCTGAACTAGACATTAATGAGGGAGACTTTCAAGAAAGTTGATTTAAGTCCTTAATATAACACCCAATATGAAATACTAAGGCTAGATCACAACACAATATTTTATAACTTGGAAGAGGGATGCCGTAATCATAGATACAAAATATTTGAAGGTAGGAAAATGGCGATTTACCAATTTCCACCACGAAAAACAAAATCGAGTTTTAGGTTTTTAGTGATTTGAAACTCCTAGATCCTTTGAGAATCATTGAACTATTCAATGGCATGTTTAAATCTCAATTGTACTCTTCAAGTTTGTGACTGGGATGCCGAGGATCACAAACAAGGAGTGAATAGCCATGCAAATTAGCTTGGTACACCCAATGTTACAACCACCTAATCATTGTTCTGGTTAACCACACACGCTCCACTAATCTATGATTAACATCAAGCTACCCTTTTCCACACATTATCAGTGCCAGATTAGTGTGCCGGTTAACCACACATGCTCCACTAACGACTTAACAATGTGCAAAGTGAAATTTCATGGGTTAGCTCCATATTCACATTTCCTAAAGTAGCTAAGATTGGAAATTTAATAAAGTTTAGTTACTTTATGTTTATCATTATACTTTGTGTTGATCTGAAAAAACTAACCTTGGATCTCCTGTTGGGTGGTGAATCTAATTTTTGAATGGTGTTTCTCTTTCAAGTATTTTATAAGTTTAAGTTAGTAATGATTTAGATAAAATACCAGGATTTTGTTGAGTGGTGAGTTAGAAAAATTATACGCAAAGCCAAGGAGGATCAAAAGATATCTTGGTTCTCTATATAATTTAACATGTTGATGTTAATGGGTAGAGCTCTTCATTAATATAATATGTTGATGTTATTCCATTTAAAAATATTAGAGCATATATCGATCCACTAGTCCATAAACCATGGTTGGATTACTTACATTCACGAAAAGTCTTTAAACCCATATATTTAAGAAAATGCAACAAATCTTTAATCCTATAAAGGGTTTGAAGTAACTTGTTATTTTGGAGATATGATTCGTCTTTTTTACTTTTTTACGGCAAAAATATTGGGTTCATAACCTAAAAAACAAGATCTTCTACTATAGGTGGCGATTAGCCATGCAAATGCTTGTCTAATGGTTAAGTCAGTATCATCATTTAAGAAATAACATTAGATAAGTAAATGAAGCAATAGAGAAGCGAGCGAATAAGAACTTACCATGGTACCTTCTGTCTTTTTATTAAGATGCTTACGTACATAAAATAAGTTTTAAGATGAATTTCATTCCAAGACCTTGGAAAGATGTTTCAATCCATAGTGGCTAGCCAATATGCTCACTTGATGGCTTCTGGGTCTATTAAGTATGGTCCTTCCCACCTTGGTGCTATTTTTTCCTACATTAAAATTTTTAGTATTTTGAAAGACCTTTCTAAGTACAAGATCACCTACCTAGAATCTCCATGGTCTTATGTTTTTATTGGATGGTCGTCCAATTATTTTCTGGTGTGTAGTTATTCGGATTTTGAAAAGATCTTGGAGCTCATCATTTGTGTCAATACCCTAAGCCAATATACTATTGTTGTCCTCTTCATTCTGCAAACCAAATCTTGATGTAGAAGTCATTACTTCTGGAAGGATCAAGACTTTGGTACTTAATACTACTGAGTAGGATGTTTGAATGATATGACTTCTTCTTACCTAACCAAGATGAATGCCTCATCTTCAATCCATTTTGAGAAGTAGTCAGTCATCTCCAACATAAAGACCGTTCAACCCGGTGGCCCTAGATAATTTTAGAACTATGTCAATCCCCATTTCTGATTGGTATTATGCAAAACATATAATCCTATGTGTGCATGCAACCCTAAAAATTTTGATCTATGTTTTCTTTAATTGAACATACAATTTGAACAACAAAATATAAAACCCTAGCATAATAGTATATAACCGAAATACACAATTAGGGTTAGAAAATTCATACCTTGATTGTTATATAGTAATAATAATTCAAATCCTTGAGTTGATGAAACATTGAGCGCATGCATCACAAGTGTCACGCCTCTAGTGGTTGACACCCAACACTAGCAATGGAAGATGAATGAGAAGGAGGGGAGAGGCTCAAATTTTCGGTTGGCACTTCAAAAGAACAGATGGTTAAAATTTCATGGGTTTAGGTTGTTAATCTAGTGTAGTCAGTAAAGCTATATAAACCCTACCAAGATAATATTAAGACGGGTAATTATCCACATTCTTGTTTATCCATTAAAGGCAATTCTAGAATCCCTTAGGAATTATGAAACCACCCATGCCTTCATGGAGGGTTCTAGATTGTCTTTTGCTCAATTATTGAACAATTGCACTTCAATCCCTACACTTTTAATTAATTCTTTTAATCCTAAAATTAATTACAATTAATTTCTGATTAAATATTACTATTTCTAACTAATATTTTTTTTGTATATTAACAAATCATTTATTTGAATTTATTAATAAAATAATAAATCAACATTTTTCTCCAAAATCATCCTGCCTAGTTACTAGTCTTGAGGGCAACCCAAAATGATTGTGCTACTATCAATTTAAGTAAATACAATTATAGTTATGGGCTTTGACACCTAATCCAATAGTCTCTCACTTAGATAAGCCTAATAACTATAATTTCCTGTCTATTCTTCAAAAATGATTAGTAAATTATATCTCTCAAAAGCCGATGACGAACATTGACCCAGTTAGTTACATGTCCTAAGATTAGTGATCATATAATCCTTCGTTCTTCAAGATATCATGTAGACATTAGACATGGAGCATAATCAATCTCATTATCCAATACTTTGTTTCCCGATTTCTGAGTTGTAAGGACAAAGAACTACAAATCGAACACATAAATTTAGTCCTAGCTAGGCCTGATACTACAAGTCAACACCAAACACTACTAGAAAAAAGACCTTTAATGACGCGCTTTTTACGACACGCGATAATTAACAATACGCAAAAAGACGTGCCCTTAAAATAGTGTCATCTCTCCAAAAAAATTTAAGGATTTACGTCACGCTTTATTGCGTGCCCTTAATTTAGTGTCTCAAGAAAAATAAATTAAAAACACGGAGAGCGCTTTATCTTAAACGCACGTCGTCTGTACGTGTCGCTTTATAATTCTAATGAAACGCGCTTTTAGTATACAAGGGGGAAATGAAATCCCCAAAATTTTGAAAACCCACCTTTTTTTTTCTATCTTCTATCTATCTTTCATCCTCAACCTAACAAGGACGAGCATTGCACTCTTGATTTCCCTAACTCTTTCTCATTTTCTGATTCAAACTTGAAAGAATCGGAAAAAAAAAATCTATCAATTTTGAAGCCTAAAGAATCACAACCCCCTATCAATTTTGAAAAAAAATCTATCAATTTTGAACACAGACCTACCCACAATGTTTTTCACCGGAAGTCTCTTTCGTCTCCACAACCTTGAGATCTCTCCATCGCTTCCCAGAGGAAATCTCAGGTTGTTTTCAGCTTTGGGGTTTTTCGATTTCATCATTTTCCCCAATTTTCAGCTCCCAATTCTTCCCTTCTTGTTCTAATCTTACCTTTCGATTCCACCCCACCCTCCTAATCTCACTGATTTCTTCATTTTCAATGGGATCTCTTTCTTTGTGAGTTTTCTTTTCACGTCACAATAGTTGATCACCGAAGAAGAAATTTTCCAAATCTTTTTGTTGTTAATCAAAATTGCGTGTATGGCGATCAGATTCACTGTTTCTTACTCCGGCTATGTGTCCCAAAACCTAGCCACCGCCTCCAGAAAATCCAATACATGCCGAATTTTTCACGAGGTTATTTCTCGTCCTCGTATATTCCAGAATCCCGACCGAGATCCCGTCGCCGGGTACGGTCCGGCAGCAAAGGCGGGTTCAAGGTGTTCAGTTTCGGCGTATGCCACTCTCGCATGTGATTTTCTTGGCGTTGAGACCTCCTCCAAACCTTCTCCCCTCGTTGTTGGATTGATCTCGTTGGTATAGTCAACGGCTACCGGTGGTGGCCTTGGTGGTGGTTTTGGGGTTTTTGGGATTTCGCCGTTGAAGGCGTCTTGCATGATTCCGTTTTTCCAAGGGTCGAAGTGGCTCCCATGTAACGAGATTAACAGTACGGAGGTTGATAAAGGCGGTACTAGCTCGACGAAGTCCAATCAGACTACTACTGATTGCGGGAAAACCTGCAATGTTGCATGTACCAAAATCATCGTTGAGAGGAACAATTGGTTTTCAAAACTATTAAGTGTTTGCTCCGATGATGCTAAGGCTGCCTTCACCGCTTTGAGTGTCAGTATCTTATTCCGATCGCAATTGGCTGAACCAAGATCCATCCCCTCTGCATCCATGAGCCCTACCCTTGATGTGGGTGATCGCATAATGGCCGAAACGGTATAATCCCAATTCTAACCTTATTACACACTATATGAATGATGGTTGCAAATTTTGCCATTTTGGCTTTTCAATTCACATAGTGATTGTATGCAAGATTTTGAGTTTTTTCCTATTATTGATTTAGGTTTCATACATCTTTCGGAAGCCAGAAGTTTCAGATATTGTGATCTTCAAGGCTCCTCCCATTCTTCAGGTGCGATTTCACTTCTTGATTATAAGTATCTTTGATTAGTTCTGTGTTTTGTTGTTTGCTCATTGTCTTGTATCAATAATCTTGTAGGAATTTGGCTACAGTTCTGGTCCTGTATCAAGATTACAATCCTTATGATTTTTGTGATGTGATGGTGTAGGGGTCCACTTCCGGTGAAAAACATTGTGGGTAGGTTATATGCAGTGATTAGGTTAATTTACTCATAGTTTTGATTAATTTTTTTTTATCATCATATCCAGGTCCCTTCTCTACTGTGTTCCGTGAAATGATACTCTTCTACATTATGCAGCCATGTTGTATAATCTTAGCCATTACACCTGCAAATTCAGATTTGGCAAACTCATATGCACTTCAAATGGATGGGATTGTTGATCCTGATGGTAATTATCAAATATACTATGCTTTGTTAATGGTAATTATCAGGAGTTCCATTTGTAATTCACATAGCATTTCAATTTTGAGTAGCTAAATGCTTATGATAATATATATATATATATATATATATATATATATATATATATATATATATATATATATTTCAGATTGGATCTTCACTTGGATTTGAAGATGGAGAGTTTGAATCTTCCAAAATAATTCGCCCTGCTGCTTTGTTCTATCACAATGAGGATGATTCCTTCTATTTTGTTGACTCATAGGTATTCTTTTTTAAATGAATAATTACAAATATATTGATGGGGATATAGTCTTATTATGGTTTTTACTTTTCATATGATGAAAGAATCATGATATAAGGAGAGCTGATATGGAGAGCAGGACAGTTGAGACATTATATCAAAAACCTAATGTTAGTGAGACAAAAAGTAGTTTAGTGACTTGGATCATTGATAAACTTTAGAGTGCAAAAGACATTCCTTCAAATTCTGAGGAAGTTGATCCTAAATTACATTTTTACCCCTAGTATCTTCTCAAGTCATTGGAAAATTACCACATTTTACATGTCATATTTTAATTAACATGATATACTGTTAATCTTGTATATAATGTTTTTATGCAGTTTTGAAACTTTATGGATCATGGATCTGTCATCTGGTATCATTCAAGAAGTGGTCAAAGGTTTGACTTCTATTGTCTACATATTCTTTTGATGTTTCTAGGTTAATTATGATGTTATTTAATAATATTTTTTCTGGTGTGAAGGATCTTCAAAGATTATAGAGATCTGTGGACAGTTGATAAAGGAGAAATCATCCCTCGTAAAAGAAATACTGCCTAGTCAGCAGCTGCCACAAAATAATTTCTCGGTGGAGGGTATTTCACGTGCGGGTCTGTTTTATTTTGTGGTAACTTTTCAGGACAATATCGTAATTTGTGACACAGGTAAAATTAAATATTTTCCTTTTGTTTTAATTGATGAACTACAATATCCTCTAAGAAACAAGAGTGTTTAGATGGTCAGGTGGTGCGGAAATACAACAAAACTTGTGAGCCAATGACAAGCTTTGAGTTTTCAATTTTTGGAATGCTAGGATTGCCATACTGGTTGTTGCCCCTTATGAAATCAGATTATGATATGAGTTCTGTTTTTCACATGGTCTAGGACCACTAATTGCTTAGGATGGTAACTGGGTTGTCTTTTTGCGCCCTCCTTTGATACACCATAAAGGCATGAAGATTCTCTCTCTTTCTCTCTCTCTCTCTCTCCAAATTCTAAAACAAACAACAACAGGTAAATAGATGCCAACATTTGTTTAAAATTTTGTGAACATTGAAAAAAAACGAGGTCGATAGTGCCTTTTTCATGAGATTGTCAAAAGTTGAATAAAATAAAAAAATAAACAAGGGTAATATTGTAATAGGAAGGGTCTTAATACATAAAGTGACCAACCTCTCACTTAGCATGACAAGTCATTTTGATTTTATTAAGTAAAAAAGAAACCACCTTATCAATCTACATGCATTTAGTCATGTACTGTTGTCCCACAATTTGTCATCATAGAAGAAGACCCTGCTGTCCCACAAGGGTAATATTGTAATAGGGCTGGTTTATATGTCATCATAGAAGACCCTGCTGTCCCATAATTTGTAACAATTTGTATTATCATTATTTGATTTTAATAATAATTTGTTTTGTTTTATTGTTGAGATTATAGATTGATAGTCTTACTTTTCATGTCATTATTATTTATTTCTTTTTTTGTTTGCAGTTTCTTGCAGAAACTTTGGATGTTGTTCAAGACATTGATTGGGTCATTTCTCTTGGAAATGCTTTTGCAAAGCAGTATGAGCTTTATACATATGATGATGAGCATTCTGCACTACTTCACAAGTATGAACTCATTATCATTATCATTACATTTTTTAAATTAAATTATCTTATTGAGAGTATTCTTCTCCTACAAATGTCTTGGTATACTTCTTCAGAAAGTTGATAACATCACTTATGTTCGTGATAAAATCGTCTGGATGTACAAACAAGCAAATAATCTAGATTTCAAGTATTCCAGCACCTTGATAATTATTACATTGCTATGTTTCACATTTAACCCTGTTTTCTAATATTGTTTTGGTTGAACATGTTATTCCTCAAATTTTAACAGATTCTTGAATTCTGACTCACCCCTGCAGCTTTCTGAATACAGGCTTATTTTGGTGTTGGATTAAGTGGAGTTCTGGCTTGGTGTGTGCGAGTGGGAAGGAACCAACCCAATGCCCCCGGAGTTCTGGCACCTTCCATCTTTACTTCCTATGTATCCAGGTTAATCTACTCGTATTTATTCATGTCTCAAAGTGTGTATTCCAATATCAGGTATCATGATTTGTGTATTTATAAAATTTTGAAATAGGGTCTTGTTCAATGCTTTAGCTGTGTTTGCTCTAAGGGAGATCAACTTATCAAAAGTAAGTTACTGTTTCACCCTTTTATTTAATATTTTTGTGATTGAATGAAAGTCTTAATGAAAGTAATTGACAACCCTTTCTCTGTAAATGATGTTGTGATTGTGGGAGAGGTGTTGTGTTTTTCTCTGTTGCTAGGTAACCTTCTCAACAACAACATTCTACTTAAGCAGGTGAGTAATCAAGATTAAGGGAGACTTGTAATCATGTTTGACATTCCTTTCCAGTAAGAAACAAAGTTGTATGATTATTTGTTAGTTATATATGAATGTATAACCCATGTTAGCAATGTATTATTTTTGTTTAACATTTGAATGATTCTTTGTATGACATTACAATTTGTGCAATTTATTTTATGTTTTGAGTATGAAATTTTATTTTATATTATGCAATGGATTGTATTTTTTGTATATGGTATTTTATTTCTATTATGAGAAATTAAATGCAAATTTAATTTAAAAATTAATAAATATATAATTTTTTTTTAAACATTTAAATTTACGATACGCAAAAATATGTGTCATCTTCATTTATGGCATGGCCTTTCTTGACAGGGGCTTTCTTGATACGCATTGTGTGTCATTAACACGCACGTCGTAAGGTTACGACACGCGAATGCGTGTCATCTTCCTTTATGATAGGGCCTTCCTTGATACGCATTGCATGTCGTAAACGTGCGTCGTAATTGCGCATCGTAAATGCGCGTCGTCTCTCTTTATGACAGGGCCTTCCTTGACACGCATTTGCGCGTCGTCTGAGCCTTTTACGACGCGCAATGAGCGTCGTAAAAGGCTGTTTTTCTAGTAGTGAAATCATCGAGGGGCCCAAAAATATCGGTTTTTCCCCTTAAGGGTAAAAAGAAACAAATAAACTTTGACTTATATGCATGTGCTATTTACTCACCAAATCACACACAACAATATATTTTATAACGTCAAGTTACTGATGTGTTTACTATTATCAATCCACAATTGATTTGTAAACCACAACTCATATGTAACACCCCCCTCTGGCACGTATCACAATATTGTCCGCTTTGGGCCACTCGGCACGAGGACTTCCCAGGGGGTCACCCATCCCGGTACTACTCCCGCCCGAGCACGCTTTACTGCAGAGTTCTTATGGGATCTGCTGCCCTCACGGCTTTAAAACGCGTTGTGATAGGGAAGGTATCCACACCCCTTATAAGGAATGCTTAGTTCTCCTTCGCAGCCGATGTGGGATCAGGTGCAACCCACCTTCACCCCCCATTATAGGGTTCGACGTCCCTGTCGAACACATCGACCCGTGCCCTAGCTCTGATACCATTTGTAACACCCCCCTCGGGCACGTATCACAATATTGTCCGCTTTGGGCCACTCGGCACGAGGACTTCCCAAGGGGTCACCCATCCCGGTACTACTCCCGCCCGAGCACGCTTAACTGCAGAGTTCTTATGGGATCTGCTGCCCTCACGGCTTTAAAACGCGTTGTGATAGGGAAGGTATCCACACCCCTTATAAGGAATGCTTAGTTCTCCTTCCCAGCCGATGTGGGATCAGGTGCAACCCACCTTCACCCCCCAACTTGTAACGTCATAAAATTTCCAACCAAAAATTTTCATTTTTACAACCATCAAGACATGAGTAATTAGTTTAGATTCCCAAAATAACGTCGTAGTCTCAAACGATTACATAACAAAAGATAAAACAGTTTCCCCGAGTGTGTGTACGGTCACGCTGGCGCCTTCCCACGGTCCTCACTCGTACCTGAAACACATAAAGCAAAAATTGTAAGCATAAAGCTTAGTGAGTTCCCAAAATACAATATACGCACATACGCCTTTCCAGGCCTTGACCTTCCGGTCCACGTGTCTCAGGAGACTTCCGTCCCGACTGGGTAAACCTTCCGGTCCTACCCACATCAACCTTTACAGTCCATATGACCACGCCTTCCGGCCCATATCAAACATATCATACATGACACATATAACAAATAACTTAGCACACATAAAGCATATATTCCATATCATATTCGACCTTCCGTTCACATAGTCAAAACCCTTCCGGGTATAGTATAGTGAGAAGACTCACCTCATATACCTCGCTAAGTTGCTAATCGTAAATCCTGGAATCACTCGGGCTCGAACCCTCGAGCTGCAATCCTCCTACGATATTATAAATCTATAAATATTACTTGCACCACTAAGGTGGACCATCCAAATCAAGTCAACACAGGTTGACCTGGTTAACAGTCTTTAGTCAATTTGGACTAGACTCGGCGAGTGCACAATAGTGACTCGGCGAGTCTACGCGTTTTTACCAACTCTCAAGAATTTTCCTTTTGACTCGTCGAGTACTCCCCCGACTCGACGAGTTCCACCTGGGCCTGAATCACAGGGCCACCGCGACTCAATTCGCCGAGTCGAAGGCCAACTCGGCGAGTCCCATCCTGACTCGGTCCACCTGTCAAAACCTTCCCAACTCTCTGCGACTCACTGAGTCGCCCACAACTCGGTCCAGTCTACACACAAGATGGTCTCAAGGACAATCTTCAAGTGACTCGTCGAGTCTGTTCTTCAGACTCGGCGAGTCCATGCCATGCACCAGCTAAAACTGGCTTTTGCGGTCAGATCCGTTCCATAAATACATAGATCTGGCCTTCCCAAGCTTATTTGTCACGTAAAGTCTCAGTCTTGGTTGCCATGCAATGCATACAAGGCTTATTTTGAAGAAACAACCTTTAATATGGCAAGCTTAACTTCTAACTCAAAAGGATGGGCATAAAGCTTGTCATAATGGGTCTCCTGGACCTGCTAAAGTCCAGATCTAGGCAAAGGATGGGACAGCAGGTTATGGGTAGCACGGAGATCGTGCTTCAGACGACCGAGCAAATTCAGATGGTCAGGCAAAGGTTGCTGACCGCTCAGAGCCGGCAGAAGAGTTATGCAGACAGGCGACGGTCCGAGCTTGAGTTCCAGGTTGGTGATCTCGTGCTCCTGAAGGTCTCTCCTTGGAAAGGAGTAATTCGATTCAGGAAGAGGGGCAAGTTGGGGCCCCGGTATATTGGTCCTTTTCGTGTGATCGCAAGGGTGGGTCGGGTAGCCTACCGTTTAGACTTGCCAGCAGAGTTGGGACAGATTCACGATACTTTCCATGTGTCGCAACTGCGGAAATGTATAGCCGACGAATCAGCGGTGGTTCCATTAGGGGACATTCAGGTGGATGTAAGTCTGAATTATGCTGAAAGACCTGTAGCCGTCAAAGATCGGAAGATCAAGGTTTTGAGAAACAAGGAGGTGCCCCTGGTATTGGTACAGTGGCAGCATCGGAAGGGACCAGAGATGACCTGGGAGCCGGAACGGGAGATGCGGGAGCAGCATCCGGAGCTTTTTGCCTAAGCGGGACTTCGAGGGCGAAGTCTTATTCTAGTGGGGGAGATTTGTAACAGCCCGGATCCCCAGGTATCTTCATTTCTTTTATATTTTGACATTCTGTGAGGGGACTCGGCGAGTCGGGTCGCGGTTTTTAGCAGGGATTCGCGTCCGGACTCGGCGAGTCCAAGGGACGGACTCGACGAGTCTGCACTGTTTAATGAAACCCTAATTTCCCGGTCCTCAGCTCTATTTAAAGGACCTTATGGCCCTCATATGCGGCCACCTTGAACCCTAAGAGCCTCCATACGTCTGTAAGCCCTTGTGTGTGTGTTTGAAGGCCTATTGTTGTTCATTTTGTGTGATAGTGCAAGGAAAGGAGGGAGAGGAGCAAGCTTGAAGTGTTGGGGAGCTTTAGATCTGTTGCTATTTCATCAAGGGGGTCTTCTGAGGTAACTTTCTGAGCCAATCTTCGTGTTTTGTGTTGATGGGCCAAATCTAGGGTTTCTTCTTGCATTTCTTGGCTTGAATAAGAAGTATGAGAGGTCCCATGGGGATATGGGACCTAGATCTGGACTTTAGCAGGTCCAGGAGACCCCTTATGACAAGCTTTATGCCCATCCTTTTGAGTTAGAAGTTAAGCTTGCCATATTAAAGGTTGTTTCTTCAAGATAAGCCTTGTATGCATTGCATGGCAACCAAGACTGAGACTTTACGTGACAAATAAGCTTGGGAAGGCCAGATCTATGTATTTATGGAACGGATCTGACCGCAAAAGCCAGTTTTAGCTGGTGCATGGCATGGACTCGCCGAGTCTGAAGAACAGACTCGACGAGTCACTTGAAGATTGTCCTTGAGACCATCTTGTGTGTAGACTGGACCGAGTTGTGGGCGACTCAGTGAGTCGCAGAGAGTTGGAAGGTTTTGACAGGTGGACCGAGTCAGGATGGGACTCGCCGAGTTGGCCTTCGACTCGGCGAGTTGAGTCGCGGTGGCCCTGTGATTCAGGCCCAGGTGGAACTCGTCGAGTTGGGGAGTACTCGACGAGTCAAAAGGAAAAATTCTTGAGAGTTGGTAAAAACGCGTAGACTCGCCGAGTCACTATTGTGCACTCGCCGAGTCTAGTCCAAATTAACTAAAGACTGCTGACCGGGTCAACCGGTGTTGACTTGATTGAATGGTCCACCTTAGTGGTACAAGTAATAATTATAGATATATATATCGTAGGAGGATTTCAGCTCGAGGGTTCGAGCCCGAGTGATTCCAGGATTTTCGATTAGCAACTTAGCAAGGCATACGAGGTGAGTCTCTCACTATACTGTACCCGGAAGGGTTTTGACTATGTGACCGGAAGGTCGAATATGATATGGAATATATGCTTTATGTGTGTTAAGTTATTTGCTATATGTGTCATGTATGATATGTTTGATGTGGGCCGGAAGGCGTGGTCATATGGACTGTAAAGGTTGATGTGGGTAGGACCGGAAGGTTTACCCAGTCGGGACGGAAGTCCCCTGAACACATGGACCGGAAGGTCAAGGCCTGGAAAGGCGTATGTGCGTATGTTGTATTTTGGGAACTCACTAAGCTTTATGCTTACAGTTGTTGCTTATGTGTTTCAGGTACGAGTGAGGACCGTGGGAAGGCGCCAGCGTGATCGTACACACACTCGGGGAAACTATTTTATCTTTTGATATGTAATCGTTTGAGACTACGACGTTATTTTGGAAATCTAAACTAATTACTCATGTCTTTATGGTTGTAAAAATGAAAATTTTTGGTTGGAAATTTTATGACGTTACAAGTTGGTATCAGAGCCTTGGTTTGAGGGATTCGGGTACACCTTCGGGTGTAACTGGACTCAAACCGGGGATTGGGGAAAATTGTTTTTACAAAAAAATTTAATTTAAATTTTGAAATGTGAGACAACCGAAGAAGAAAAAGTGTGTACGGT